GCCTTTGCTCGTCACGCAATCCACCTCAACAACGTGTGACGAAACCAAAGTTTTTATCGCGTGGTCACCAAGCCATTCTCACCGCCATTTTGGTTTTTGAGCATGGAGTTCGCAGCGGAAAATTCCGAGCAAAAAATTCAGAATGAAACTCGTGGAACAGAAAACTCAGGGGGTAAAGAGCAAAGGCCAACAAGAGAGATTACACAAACGGATCATCTGAATAGAAGATTATTGGATGCATTTCTAACGAGATTAAACAGTTCTGAAACAGCTGAGGTTCCCACCACAGATATGCAAAATATGGTTATTGACACAGATCAAGAGTTTGAAGACACTGATAACTACACGGACAACCAATCTGTCAAGGAGTAACATGGATTGTGAAAATGTTTACACGGCTGTTCTAACGGAGAGTGGAACAGATCACGCAGGATCAGCTGTATTTTGTGATTGCAGTCCCCTGGGAATTTTTTTCCTCAGGAGACCCACGTATTTGGCATTTCGTCGAAAGAAACTTTCAAGCACATCTTTTGACATTTGTATGCATCCAAGCATATAACTTGGTAGGACTATGCCATCTTGATCTAGCATTCACCCTCTCCAGCTGGAACATGGTTTCAAATAATGTGATGACACTCACATTGTCTCCTTTGGTAAGAAGGATTCCTTTTTTTTTCCAAGTTGGAACTGCATATTTGTTTGGCATGATATGTTAGCCATCTTCGCGACCCGCCATAATCGTGCCTTTCCTAGCTGTCAAGAGAAAATCTGAGGAGACTCAGTGGGAGATAACTTAACTTGTAGACTGCTAACATAAAGTCAACTCTTGTTTAAAAGGACTCTGTCTGGTGCTGAGCCTTCATACTGCACTAATATGCATTTAATGGAGAGTTGGTCCGTGCCATTCTTTGGTCATTTTCTCTTGGTGTTGCAGATGGGTGTGATCCCCAAATGACCTAGTTGCATGGCTTTTAGCATTTACAAAGTCATTTGTGTGGGTTGTCAGTTGCGTAGTTTTATGCCCCGTGGTGTAAACAAACCAACTGCGTGGCAGACAAGCCATGTGAATGACTTCGTAAATCCTAAAAGCCATGCAAGAGAGAAACCTCTGTTCGCGGGATAACAAAAGATTGAAACATTAAATGATACTCACACCACAACATAATGCCTAGCCAACTATGGTTTCTGCAGCACCAGTAAACACCCTTTTCTTTGACCCTACAAGATGGACTGTTCATGCTGTATAAATAGTGTCCATCGCAGAGAGAGTACTGGCCGACAGGTTTCACTGTGTACAGTAAGACCTCTATAATATGGAGACCAGAGTGATTATAAATACAGACTCTCTTTGATAAGGCTTGTTGCAAAGGTTGTGCTACTGTCCTGCCGAACTCAATTGATTTGCTGGGTTGTAGCACAAGGCTACTGCAGCATGGCATAGCTTGCTATGGTACATGGCAGTTTCACAACTCGGTTTTAAACACTGTGCCAAACTCAACTTTTCTCTTGCAATTTTTGCTGTCATTATATTAAAATTAAGAAATTTTATAATGACCTCGATGCTTATAAAGGTCAGGATAAGGTATGGCACTCACACTTTGAACTTGGGGTACTTGAGGGGTTGTTATCATAAAATCCCCCCTTCCGCCCACAATGATTAGTCGAGCTTGCATGACTGTTTCTTTTTTAATAGGGATCAAGGTCCCAGGGGTTCCTAGCGGAGCCTGTGGAAACTGGGGATATTTTTGCGGTGTGACTGGTGCCATGCATGCTTTGCGAAGAAAGATAAGGAAAGATTAATGAAAAAGATATCAATCTTTTCTGAAATGGGTCAGTCCAGGAATTCTATCACTCAAAAGCGTTGGTTGAGGCCCTGCCAGGGGGTTGTCCGATGTCACTCGTCTGAATTTTAAAACATCTATGCTTCACCTTTCTTTCGGAAATTGAACAAAAATTCTGTCTTTTCGGAATTATAGAAAAGGGGGACAGTGATGCATTGTAAAGAAACCATTATAGTTATGCAGTTTCTCAGGTGACATGTGGTGTATCGAACATCTATATATCACCATTAACAATTAACACAATTCACAGAAGGGACTCCACTGAAGCTCACTGACAAGAGACGTTCTTTGAGGCACAGGGAAAATTGACGAAAATGTCTTCTCCTTGGCATTCAGACTGGTGATAAATTAGCCAGTCCAACATTCTTCGTTGCTTACTCTTGGCTTTGCCGTTGCTGTTGCAATTTGGCTGAGGGAGCTTGTCTCTTGTCGTGATTTCATTTTACGCTCTGTTTTGTGATGAGCATGCAAAAATATTGGCAATGACGTATATTATCTCAAATTTTGAGTTTTTATACATGCATACTCAATCAATTCAGAACCAATTTGTTGAATACAATGTATAAAGTGAATATCCTGGAGAGTACATATCTGTCGAAAAAGTAGGACGTGAAAAGCTTTAAATGAAGAAATCCTGTTTTGTGTAGAATTTATTGCCTCCTCATTTCCTATCTAATCTCCAAGCAAGCTCAACTAAACATTTTTAAGGGTGTTCTTGTTATTAGAACCTAACAAAACTACCAGTTATCAAACTACTGAAACTCCATGACACTTTATTTTCTACACCATCTTCTACCTATGTAGTAGTCTTAATTGATAAATGTTAATGGAATATGTTCCTGTCAATTATGACAACACCTTTTTTGAACAACATTTGCATCACCTGGGTCTGCCATATGAAAAAGGATTTTGTTATACCTAGTGACTCAGCAGCCATTAGACGTGTCAAGAGTTCTGAATTCTTGTAAAAGAGATTTTTATGGTATGACACATTCAATATGACACATTTTAAGTATTAGGTGTATAAAGGTTGGAAGCTGAACTGTTTTAAAAGAGACTAGGGAAACTATTTTTTTAAGTTTTACCTAAAGACATAATACAGGGTCTTATCTTTAAATTAATGTGACTCAGATTCCATGTAAAGATCATTTTAAAAATCACTTTCAGTTAAACTGAATTTCACGTTCAATTTTGTATTAAACTTATTATAACAATACTTTCTTGATTGCTAATGATTCCAAGAGCACATTAGTATACAAACATTAAGTTTGTTAACTGAAAATACTATCATAATGATCACCATTGATAGGAAACATTTTTTTGGCAGTTTTCATGCATGGTACTAATCAGTGTGTTTTGGTATGTACAGAATAAAAGTTCAGATATTTCTTAATTTGAACCTGTTCTGAGGCAACTGATGAACTTTCCAGCAGTTCCATTTAATATTATGTTGTTTTAATGAAGAGCTACTGTCCTCAGGATTAGGAGTTGCTACCTTTCACCTCCTAACTGTTCTCTGCAAATTTCCTTTTGTATGAACGAGGAGAATTTGTCTAAAAATCAATAATTAAACTTGTTGATCTTTTTTTTTTAAACAACCTTTATGTTTGATTGAGCAAAGTTTCTATAAAGAGAAATTAAACATTGGTCACTTGAACAGGTTCAAGGGCTACACTTATTTCTGTCTAACTAGATCAGATTGTACTTGATGGAAATGTCTGCTATACATGTATGTATGAAAAGGTAAATAGTTACTTATTAATGTACAAGTCAATCGAAAAATAGCAAGGGCTTTAAGTAATGGTCCAGATAAGAAGGAAAGAACCAAACGCAATGAACACGTTGGAATGCAAAGAGGTGGCAACTTTACTATTGTCTCTATGGCACTTCTGATTGGTTTAAAAATCAAAGTTTATGAAATCTTGCAAAGCAGCATGCAAATGTATCCCTTGTTTTCCAACCAACTTCCTTATAACAAAATCTTATCTCAGTCCAAGTTACGCAGAAAATCCTACGTGAGGAATGTGTAAAATTGTAAATGTTTTTTGGCTATTGACTCTTATGATTGGTCGAAATCTTTCAACACAGAAACACACCTTTCAAAGATCGAATTTTAAGACATTTTATTCCATAACCTGCCTTTTTGTAGGATTATGCATTCTCTGAGTGAAAATGAAAACATTTTTATGTGAGGAAAGCGTATTACACCAAAACAAAATAAATTGCTTCCCGTCTTACCCAGATCATTACTTAATACCCAGGATTCAGTTATTACGACAAATATTATTCAAAATAGTTCACCATTTCTGATTGGCTTAAAGTAATTCTGCTGGCTAGTTCTTCATAACTAGCTGGCACTGAAGACAGGAAATTTTCATAGATTGAGGTAAGCATGTTTTACGATGGAAATTAATATTTTGAATGAAACACTAGTTGTTGGATTCAGTTTTTACATGATAATTTGTGAAGATTTATGGTGCTCTTGCAATGGTTTTATCAGCAGAGGTGGATATACACCCTCTGATATATGCACAAATCTTCACAACATACATGATACGCAAGCTGAATCCATGGCATTATTGTTAATTATGCTGCTTTAATCCAATCTATCTGTTTAACCACAAACTATCAAGTTTTACAAAACCTCTAAATGTTATACAGATATTTTAGGAAAACCTATTTGACTGGTGTTCTGTAGGCTGAAATTCCCAGTATTCTAGCAGTTAAACATCTTAAACTTAGGTTGTAAAGAACAGCGTTCACACAGGTTTTTGTATCCAAAATTCAAAACTTTTTCTGGACTTTTTTCCAACAACGAAAAAACAAAACTCTCAGGAATAAGCTTTTTTTGTGATGCACTGCAAACATAAGGGCGAGATTGAATTAGATTTGACCAAAATGAAAAAGATTTTACTTCTGAAGCATTTGTTGTGGCTTTGGAATGAAAACTCAAGATATATCATTTTCCCAACATTTTCCAGGTCTGGAAAATTGCTGGTCAAATTTCAAGACTTTGTCAAGAATTCAAGACTCTGTACGAACCCTGAAAGAAGATCTTAATAGACCCTTTCATGGATAATTTTCAACTTTTGACTGGGACCAAAATTAATAGCGAAAATCTGTGAACACGGCTAAAAAGAATGCTTTATAAAAATAAAAGATGACAAGTTTAAATGTGACTTGTTAAAAACTAACTTGCTCCGCAAAGTCATCAAATTTTACAGACATCTGTGTGGTGGGGGCCCCACCATACAAATGTCTGTAAAATTTTGCTGCTTTGTGGAGCAATGTCTTTGCTTGCTTTTATCACATGGAAGGGTCTATTAGAAAATCGTGAAAAGAGGAAACCCAAAAAGTTGTCTTTGTTGCTAATGAGAGGTGGTTGTTCACAAGAGTTTTCAACCTTAGTATGTATTTTGGCTGGTGGGAAAATTTCGGTGAGTTGGAAGGGGTGCTCATTGTTATGAGAGATGGTTGCAAAAAAGAAAGTTTCTGTTCTTCACTTTGTAATTGTCTACATTCTAATGCCAGATATGAAAGGAACCTTAAAAGGCTAACCTTGAAAAGTAGTCTGGGTTATTACAGGGATTTTTCTACCTACAGGTGTGTATATATAATTATTTTTGGGCTTCAGAAGTCCACGTATGTGCCATAATAACCTCTTGTCAATGACTACCATTTACAACTTCTGCCCTTTGTTTGGCTTGGCTGATGACAGCATCCATCTCTTCCTGAGTAGTACTTTCTTTGTGTTGACACAGGTCTTTGTCACCAGCAGTGACTCCCCAGTTGTCTGGTGTGGACAAACCAGCACATTTTGGCCTACCACTTGATGGCTTGAGATTCTCCCAATACCCTCTACGAGCCCTGTAAGTATATCAATGATTTCCTGTCAAGCTATTTAACCTTTTTACTTTGAAATCATGAAAAAAATAAAACAAAAATAATAACCTTCCTGCTTGATTACTATTTGGGTGACTTCCCTGCTCCCATCTAGAAAACTATGCGAAGTTCTTTTTGGCATATACTAAATATAGCAAATGGTAAAATTCAGCCCGTATCTTCTACTTAACATTTTTAAGTTGGAATACAGTCAAACCTTCTGTAAGCGATGGCGGGGCTAAAGTGCAGATCACTGGACAGGCCACAGGTTACAGGACATATGCCGAAAAATGTAGTTTCTGTTCCTAAACATTACATAAGGACTGTTTATATGTTAACGAGTAATCTGTAGTTACATTTGTTTGACAAGTTTTGGTTACCTAGTAAAGGCCGTTTTCAGACTAGTTATTGTCCAATTTCTTCAATCGAGTCATTGACACACAGCACTGTAATCCTTTAATACATCAGCAGTTTACAGAGTCAAAGATTCAAGTTGTGATGGCCGAATGCTACCACCTAAGGACCACGAGGCAAATCCAACAGTTATTTCAAGCTGTTGTGCAACAGAACATGAGAAAATGGCAGGCTCTTGGGAGAAGAGCCGAGAAATATGGTCCAGCAACTATTTGAGAAGCCCAAATGGCAGTGTTTGAAGTTGCTGGCCGACTACGCTTTAACACAGCAGCATTTTGTGACTGGTACGAAGCCCGAGCAACAGGCCGCCACCTTCAAAAGAGATGGAAGACACATCGAGTGGCAAGAGGAGTTTAAGATGAGGAAAGTCTGAAGAAAGTTGCCATGTATTTCAGTGGTCAAATAAGTTTTACACTGTCCTAAAGTTTTTCCTCTGTTTTCCCATCAACTGTTCAAAACATCCAAAAACACGTCACGATATTCTTAATGCAATAACCCTTTGTTTTGAGATTCATTTTTTTTCTTCAAATCACGTGATTTTGCATACCTTTGTGATTTCGTTACCAAATTTGGTTATGCTGTAACGCAAGTCCTCCTTGCATGATCAACATGAATATATTTTCTCATGGGTGGAATTTGGTAAAGTTCAGAACAGAAAAAATTGAGGTTCCTTGGCTTGTTTTATTTTGTATAATAAAATGCCAATCAAGAACAGTTTTGTCCAGTGTCCTATTGTTTTTGTGTGTGACCTGTCCTTAAGCTCTGCTGCGCGAGCGACCACCCAAAATACAAAGACTGAGTGGTCGCTTACGGGAGGTGTTCATTACGAGAATAGAACCACAGGGGGCTCTTCCGAGAAGAGGCCCAGGCACATCTACTTTATGCAAGATAATATTTATTGCATGCAATGCCTAAGTTAGGATATGTGCAGTTCTATGTTCTCACTAAAGGTCTTTGTATATATAGTTTTAAAGTGATGATGTCATAAGAATTAGATTTGTGAAATTATGGGGTTTGTTGGGATATTTTGAAAGAACAGCATCTGCAAGGCCTACTTGCCAAAAAGTACCTTTGTGGGGTAAATTGTTTTGGAGATACTAGTACCATTTTGCTCTGACGACTCCATACAAATCCCTCTAAATTTGACTTGGTTCCTAATGTCAAGAACTGAGTCAAATTTAGAAAGATTTGTATGGAGTCATCAGAGCATAACTAGGCTAACATCTCAAAGACAATCTGCCCTAAAATTCTAATGTTTGGCAAGTAGGCCTTTGGATGCTGTTCTTTCAAAATAACCCAAAAAATCCCATAGTTTCACAAATTTAATATTTTTATGACATTACACTTAAGAACTCTATTCTAAGTAACACAGTGCACACAGTGAAAATAGAGATCAGAGAATACGTCAAGTGGTTGCTTACAAGAGGTTAAAAACAATGGAATATCATTAACCGTCAAGCCCAAAAAGTGGTTGCGGTCGCTTACAGGAGGTGGTTGTTTACTAGAGGTTCCAACTGTAAGGCTTTGACTGAGAAAATTTTGGTGTTTTGAATCGACAGTTGCTTATGGAAGGCAGTTGCACATGGCGGTTTGACTGTACTGATAGCTTTGAAAATTTCTATTTTCTCACCTGGCACGAACCCATGGTTTAGTGTGTAATCGGAGTCCTTCTCCCCACTGGCCATGTTTGCTACTAGACAGTGGCAGCTTTCCTCTTTCTTTGGCCAACTGACATTAACATAAAAAGGAAAAATATCAATTAATTTTGCTTAAACTTTTACAAGATTATATCAATCATTGATGTATCTCCACCAGAAAATGTAATAGAGGGAATATTGCCCTAAGCCCATGCAAGGAGAGGAGGGGACTGGTTTTGTGCAAATAAAATACATTATGGGTTTTAAGATTTGGTTATTAGCCATCAAAATTCTCAAAGCCCACAGGTGCTTTTTTAAGTTCCTCTTTTTGTAAAAGCTTTTAAGTTTTTTCTTACCCCAGACAAGACTGCATGACCTTGAAAGCCATTATCCCTTCACATCAGCACATATACACAGATACCCCCTCCCACCACCCATCCATTGCAGCACTAGCCTACAGGCAATCTCTTGGTGGAGATGTAACTTACGTTTGTTTATAGTGTGACAATAACTATTTTTTCAAGAAATACCTAAAATAGCTTAATCTCAATCTGTCCAGGACAAAACAAGAAAATATTAATTTTGATCCTTCGCAAATTGTTATGAACCACCCACACAGCTGTGAGCAACATACATGTATTTAATTCTGAGAATACTTAAGCCTTTAACAGCAAAGAAATTAAAGTTACCTCCTCTGCAACAGCTCTTATATGGTACGGTTCAATTCCACAACAGCCTCCAATGTACCGAATTCCAGCATTATATGCATCACGAGCAAACTTGTGAGCATCCCATCTTGTCATTACACGAGGCTCTAGGGCTAGAAAGGGGGTTAACATTCTCAGTGTACCAACTTTTCAAGACATCTACATCTATGAATATTGGTAGGTTGCAACATAGCCTAGCCTCCCATCCAAGAAAATTTGGTAATCACGTGACCATACACCGACTGCCCGCACCACAGGCATACCAATGTAAAATAACTCAATCAACAGGTATGGCAACCCAAATGCAACTCGAGGTTATTTTGACGGGAAATCGCATAGCTACCTGCGTCTTGTAAAGCAGAAACAACTAAAGAGTCAATGAAGAGGAAAATGGGAAGCGGAAATTGTCTCTGTATCCGTGTTTTCTAAACTGTTAAGCTTAGATTAATTGTCATGTCCACAAATTTGGAATATAGAGCAAGAGAAACACAGAGAAAAAGAGAAAGTAGGCGGCAGGCCAGCGAAGCTCAACAAGAAAAAGGGCGACAGAGATTAGAGCGAGAGATTAAAAACAAAGGAGACTTTTTTTTGTTGGAACAACAAGATGAAAATTTTCTAATGGCGGTGACAAAATGAGAAATGCTAGCGGCCACCAATGCAAGGTGAAAATGAGCGGCAGTGAAAAAAAGTGAACGAAAAAAACGTGCAACTAAGAAGTTTCTGGAAGTTTCACGTTGTAGTTGTGCAAAACAACGGCAAAGAAATGTACAAAAAAAGTGTGCTGCACGTGCAAAGTTGCTTTTTCGCTAATTAGACCTATTGTTGTTTTTCACCGTTCTTCGGCGTTGCCTTCGCCGCTTAGCATTACATGATTTTATACTTTGTTTGAACAAACTATAAATTTTATAGAGCGCTTCGCTTTTAGCCCTGGCTAAATCTATATATTATGATTTGGTATCAGACTGCAATATTGTTGCTTCTTATAAAAAATGTTGTTAGAAGCAGAATTAACATTGCTCCTGTAATATTTATTTCAAAGCAGAAAACCTATTCTTGGACAGCAAGGGTAGTTGCCTGTGGGGATGCACTACACTTTGCCATTGATTTTCAAAGCAAACTACAGTCAAAACTAACCAAAAGGAAACTCTGGCAGATCAATGAATCCCTGCTTGCCAGCATCAGGAGTTAAATACCCAAGAGGTTGGACTATCAAATGCTTTTTAATCCCAGCTGCATCAAGGGCCTCCTTCATTAAACGACACGCTTCAATACACTGATCAGGACCAAAGTGACAATTAATTCCAACGATATCCGCGCCTAAAAAAAGAAGCAAATGTGATTTGGTTGATCAGAGGGGCGTAATGAGCTGGACCTTGGCTACAGTATCTGAATCAACGTTCTCAATTTAGTTAGTTTCAATGTCAATACTCCTTGGTGATAGCCAGTACGAGAGAAGAACTCAGGCTACTCCAGGGAGTTGAGTGAGTTGGGAAGAAAGACATAATTTCTGAATAAGTAATACAAGGCAATAAATTGAAAGCCACGATCATTTATGTTACATCCAAGTTAACCTAAGCAAGCATTACCTAATCACTCAACACTAACTGGTGACTCCGATCTGTTCACAACAGAAGTAGGGCATTCCCGCTTTTACTTAAGTAAATACCTGCACGGGCCAAGCGCACTCCACATTCTCCTGTAGGAATACCATGCAAATCCCCTTCAGGTCCAATGCATAGTGAAACAGCAGTAGGTTTGCCTGTGGCTTTGCATGATTCCACTGCCCATTCAGCTTCTTCTACATGCTCAAAGTACTAAGAATATAACAATACTTCAATAACTCCCTTTATAAGTATTTTTGAAACAATAATAGAACACTATCATAAGGTTTTAAATTACACAACAGAATTCACCTCTGTTTAGGACAAAAACATTTTCTGAATTAAAAGCAAAAAACATCTGGGCCCAGTTGTTCGAAGGCCGATTAGCACTTAACCCAGGGTTAAATTTAACCCGGGTTCTTTTTTGTGTTCAAAAGCATTTTTCTCGGATAATTAATATCTGAACTTATATCTCGCACTAACTGTGGGTTATCTTAACCCAGCTTTGAACAACTCGGCCCTGGTGAGTACATTAGGTGTACATCATTATTTTTGCTTACAAATTTAGCTATTTTGGTTACTGAGGTTTCTGTGGCAACTGGCTGCCCACTGGTACACATACATTTGGTGGTCAGTGCTGTTGTGTAGAGGTTCTCATTAACACAAATGAATGAATTGACTTTTTGCCAGGGCAGAAAAGGTTGCTATTAATATGAAAGGTGACAGTAAAAGTTCAACCCTTTAGGGGGCATTTTTCAGGCTTCAGGTTGTACAAGGGTAGGGATTCCACGAGTTTAAGCATATGAAGGGTAGATAAATCTTTCAACTGAGCAACTAAAAGGGCCTTTTATCAAAAATATCAAACAGACACCTTACTCTCTCCTCCTTCATCGCAGGGGTTCAGAAAGGGAAGAAGAGGTTTTAAATAGATACTGACAGTAAACTTAAAAACCCATGACTACCTACATTTTCTTAAGTTAGCGTAAACAGGTTCTTACATAAATGGTACTTAACACAAATTTAGGCTGTTTTGGTTTTCATAGGTAGTTATTTTCCAATGAAAAAATTTATTGGAACTAAGAGCATTTAGTGGTTTTCAGCTTATTCCTTATATCAAATTTGCATACAATTACATTGCAGATGAAGTGATAAGGCAGCTTTTGTCTCCAAAGGGGATCCTGATTGTTGACTTATTTTATTCTTATTGTAAAGAATTTTTTACGCAGATTTTAGAAAACAAGAACCCGTTTCAAATTTTAGGCTAAACAGGATCTTGTATAGAGGGAGCCTAATGGTGAGCCTAACAGGTTCTTAAAAACCAGGTTCTTAGTTTAGGGTTTTTGCTGTATTTGAGTAAAGTATCTTTTTTATATGGTAGGTATATGAGGAGTACCTTTTGGTTCAAAAATGGTGTATAAGAGAGAAGGGGGTTAGACATCTGGGTAGAGTCTCCCTGTATAAAAACTTTGAGCATTCCCCTGGGTGTTCAACTACGTAATTATTTTAACTTTGTGCTAAGAAGTACCCCACACCTCTGCAATTAAGAAATCAACATCATTCTTCACAAAGATTTCAATTTGCTTATTGAATTCTTTCTGACAAGCCTCTTTTCCTTTGCCACTCAAGTACGTTGGCGTCTGAGAGATACCGCCACAAACCAAAGCATCTCCCTCTTTCGCTACTTCAAAAGCAATGTCACAGGCAGCTTGGTTAATGGTGTTGCACTGTTGACAAGAATGAAAACAAGGTAGACATTATTAAGATAGTCTGAAAACCGTACACCTAAACCAAACATCTCAATAAATGTAGTTCAGAGGTATGGTGTAACCTAGGAGAGGTTTTAAGGGTTCTGAAATTTCCTTTCCCTCTTTGCATAATAGCACTATGCTTTTTTTTAAAAAAGGCAATTCATTTCAGGGAAAAAAAAAACAGGGCTGTAATTGAGGGTCAGACAGGACCCTCAGCTACATGTACTTTCATTGGAGATGAAAGGAAAAACAAAACAGGAAAAAACTTTCTTGCATCTTCAATTCCCTGAATACTATTTGAATATACCCTGTGCCTTAAAATCTTAGTGACAGCTCTTAATAAGTTACAAATCACTGTTTGCAGAGAGTTCCATCTGCTGAACTTAACATTAGCTTTCCAAACATTTTTGAAAAGTTATGGTTGTTGTGACTGTGACAATATTGCATTGTCCAATCAGATTTTAGTATTGACATGTGCGTGCTCGGCACGCTTTTGTCATAGTTTACTGTCATGGCCGCTTGTGAGTTCACTACGTTCTGATTAAACAAGTTGAAGTTTAAGAACGTGAACCAATTCTTTATAGTGACAGTACACTGTTTACCTAAAACAGTGCTATAAAGATTTAATGGAAGTTTGCTTGATATTCAATTGGGCAAGGATGAAAGGGGGCACTTGGGCCTATTGAGAACTACTATACCAAGAAGGGAATCAATTTCATCTAAAAGAAGCAAAAAATTGAATTTTAAAAAAAGCACCTGAAAATGCACATACTTCATTACATCTTATCAGCATCCTTCTAATTAATTCAAAGAATCGAAGAATAAAGATTACACCTTTTTATGAACGGATCAAAACTGGAAGCAAAGGCATTTTATTACAATACCAAGTAACTCATTCTCTCCCGGAAACTTTTTCAAAAAAGGCATTTTGAAGTTAGTTGAGCCATATTCTGTTAAAATTAATGTCAGCCGTCTCATCCAGCTTTCAACAGTTGAAATTCCGGCATACACAGAAAGCAAAATTTATGAATCAAGTTTTGGATTCAGAAGGGACACAAAAGTCTCGACTTTTACGTCGCTATCTCTCCTCCCCTCTTCTTTTGCGCTTTTCTTGCCTCATTTTTTCCTTTTGATTGACATTTAGTAGGCTTCATGTTAGTGGGAAAAGCTTTTCAGAAAGCTTTTAGGATCTTAAGACCAAATGAAAGGAGAGGTAGGTAGGTAGTATAGTGGAACAAGATTCATAGGAAGTTTTGAGTCAATGTTACTTGGTTTTAGTTTTTTGGCCTTTTTCTTCTGCCTCCTTAACTTAATTGTGCTCACTATGTTATGGTTTCAGAGATCTCCTCACCTTGCACAAGTTAGAAGACAAAGTTGTCCTTGACTGTTTTAACTTTTTAAAAAACTGATGACATCACAAGAAGTAGAAAGGATTGGGATCTGCATGGGCAGGTTAATGAAAAGATGATCAAAACAATACTTAAAAAAATGAATGCCACTCGACTTGATATGGTAAGAATGTTCCAAAAACCAAGTTCCCAAACCTGCATTTGCCACATCTAAATTAAAGGGGGCATAAGGGTTAACGGTATTGAGTTTTTTCAAGCAGTATTTCTTTAATTTTATTTTAATTTGCAGTATTGCAGTATCATCAAGCCCTGTCGTATGCAGTTTTTTATCCTTTTGGCTGAAAAAATTCAGGAAAAAATGATCCTTCACGGCATTCTGGCAACTGTTCATTTGTGCTCTTCTGTCAAGTCAATACAGTATGCAACACAAAACACATAGTAAGCCAGGTTAATTTAAGTTAATATTCCTAAATCTTTAGACATAATGGTAAATGATAGCACAATTTTGGATATTTCATCTACAATGGAATTGCTGTTGCATCCAATGACCAGCTGCACCAACAGATTTGAGGTCTTCCCACATTTTCTTGCAATGGCTGAGGTTGATTTCTGGTGCTTACATGCTTGAGATATTTTAACACGCAAGATGGATACAACTTCAAGTAAGCATATGTGGTATTGATATTTTCTTGATTTTTGACACAGTATTTTTGTATTTGCCATTTTTTCTTACGGTATTGCAGTATTGGGTACCCCTCAATGCAGTGATTTTGTTACCTCTGCGTCCTGTGTCTGTGATGCATAAAAAGCCCCAAAGACACAAAATAACATAGCATGCGTCCCATAAGACACAAAGATTAATCGATTGATCTGAACATGTGTTTTTTTGTTAAAATATCCTGTTTGTGCAATTTCTGTGGTAGTTATTATGGCTGTTGTTTCAGGATGCATAATTTAGTTCTTTTAGCCTTTGTTGCGCTTTAAAATAAAAGGACTACATTTTAATTTCAGTATACTTTAATACAGAGTTTTGGAGTATGTCTTCAGGTTAACTGTCTGGTTACATAAAGACCGAAGCATTTTCAATTTCAGACACATTTTTTCTTAACTGGGACTCACAATAACTATTGTAACAAAATCACTGCTCAATGTCCCCCTCTAAATTCACTAGTTTTACATACAGGTACACAAACTGTACCCCAATCTCTGCTGCTTTGTTCCCCCTGTTTCCAAGTTTGTCATCACTGGCATAAAATGTGAATGTCTGCATGACATCAGAACCAGCACGAAGAAACTCCCTGTGCAGTTCTTTGACTGAAATGTGAAAAAGCAGATAGGACATCGGTTTACTTCAAAGGGCAGGTAGCTGTGTCCATGGCCCTCCACATGTAATGGTGATGGAATTAACACCATTTCAGCCTGAATTCCACTGTAAACAAGTCAAACTTTCAACCACAAAGTAAATGGGCATCATAATCATGGTTCCCACAGCCAGAAATTTCTGAAATTTCCTGACTTTTCCCTGACAAATGTAAAATTTTTCCTGACCAACTGAATTAACAATTCGACAAATTGCTCAGTACTCCCCTCACAGCCATTCCTTCCATTCATTTACTTATGCTTTCAGAAAGTTATGTGCAGTGCACATAAATTGCTAGTTCCTCAATAGAACATGCAAAAAGGATAATTTTCCAGAAACCCAACATCAGCTTGTTATCCAATTCCACTAACAATATGTTACAAGTACACCACAATTCATGTCCGTAAAATGTACAAATGTACTCTTAAACTGTCACTTTTGCGGTCATTTTCCCTGACTCGAAGTGAAATTTCCTGACTTTTCCTTTACCACGAAGAAATTTTTATCCCTGACCATTTCCTGACCCGTGGCAACCATGACAGTTGACTGATCAAAGTGGGCTAGTCTGTATAACCAATTCTGACTGATGGTAAGCGCAAAATGGTCATTTGGTACTCAAAGCGCCATAAGCTGATTGATGGGTCAGCTGCGTATAATCATTCAGTGCCTGCACACGTCTATCCATGCCCCTAAAAAGCTAGGACCCAGTACCCTATGCAGGACCAAGTTTCAGGACAAAAACAGGCTTCAAAGAACTGACAGAACCAGTCATGCCGTGCCTCAATGTTGGTCATGAATAATAGTCCCACATTCCAAATCACTTATGCACTAACAAGCGGGAAAGCTGCTAAGTGGACTTCCTGTTCGGAACCAGAGCTCTTGATTAATGTTATGGTGTTATAAACTTTTCAAAGTCCCCTAATTTCCTGCAAGATTGTCAAGAATGAGCGCTACAAGCGACCATCTTGACAAGGTCTAGCTTAAACTACTTAAACGGCATGGGATGGTTTGGGAACCCCGAGCCCCATCCTCTTGGTACACTTGAATCCAATAGACCTCTTTAGCTTGTATGTTTTGCTTTCCCAAATTATACAGGTCGTGTGATAATACTCTAGGGAACTGTTTCTTTGTTCGTGTGCATATGTCGCACAATTTATGATGAGACTAGGGGTTAAAGGGGTTGTGTCACGGCAGTCCAGATCATCATGTTTAATTTTGCCAACTACTCGCCCTCAATCGCTATGGAACTTAAAGTAAGCAAAGAAATTACATGTAAATGACAAAGTGAGAGATTCGAGACAAACAAATATGTCTCCTGAGCATTATTTTTGAAGCTGCAAACAGCAGAGATAAACCGTTATGTATCGGTCAAATCGAAGCTTTGTGCCTTTGTGCCTTTTTGGCCAATTGGTTATGAGGAAAGGGCTTAAACAAGCTTTGTGGCATATTTGAAGTATTTAAATTTTAAATTTTTAATATTGGATTCAGTCTTTGAATGTATGAATGTATTTTACTGTTGTGTTTACAATGAAATACAATACCTATAGTGGCGATTCAATACAACAACATAAAATAAAATAAAATAAAATAAAAAGCTCAGGTCAACTACTTTGACCTACTGCATGTATGTTAATTAATAAGGTGAGCGATGATGCATGTCAGTGAAATGGTCATGATGTAGTAATCTCAATATGTGGGATCTTTTTTATAGAACGCTTTGTATGATGCATGAGAAAGAAAAGCTGAGCATTCAGTGACCTTGTAGCAGCGATTTCCGCCGCTTTGCACGAGACTTTTGTTCGTAGTAAATACGCTAACAGTGTTTCTCAGTTTTTGTTATATTTATAAAGATTTTGTGGGGGGGGGGGGGGGGGGGGCATGTTGAAGCTTCGATTTGACCGATACATAATTAGGCTGAACAGTTTTCAAAAACCCTAATTTCAATCTGTTTCAATCTTCCTCAGTTTTGCCCATGCGTGGCATCTGTTGTATCTGTTGTGTTATTTTAACCTTCCTTTAATGTTTTAAGCGGTTATTTTTATGTTTCTCTTAGATTTAACGGGCATTTTGTATAACCGTACCTAACTTGGTAGAATTTCGTGACACAGCTCCTTTAAGTTCCCTTGGGACCTCAGTTGGGAAAACAAAACATACAAGCTGAAGAGGTCTATTACAAAATGGCTGCCAGTGAAATTGATCGTGAGCGCTCGAACTGGACGAGCTTACGGAAAAAACGGGGACTGTGAACAGTCTATTAATGTTATTGATTGTAACAAACTATTTTATCTCGTCGAAGGAGACTAGTCAACTAAAGGCAGTTGTAATATATAAAAAGGCATTTCGCTAGGTTCCGCAGATAGGCGCAGATACTAAAATATTCCGTGTATTCCGCCATTCATTCCGTTCCGTACCCTCACTCCACCCAATAGGGTCACCCGATGTTTTGAATTTCAATATTTTTAAATTGAAGCAATGTGATCCAACACTCCACTTCAACTAAGAGCTTGCGCTTATATCAGCTTAGCTGAAAAAAAATTATGTGAAGTAAGAGCTTAAATGCAACTTAAATAGATTTTGACCGTAAAATTTGCATTTTCAATCGGGCGTTTCAAACGTAGGCTGTAGATTAACTTAACTTAAACAGTCGCTACACATAGATTCTGTACAGTACAACTCAGCGCTTCTCAGCACAATAAAATAAGGCAATAAAAATTTAAATACGACACTGAAATTTGCTAGAGACGTTAACCTTTTAGCTTAATTTGGGATGGTCAAAATGAGAGCGCGCAGAAAATAAGCTTATGTTTTGAAAAATGTCTTCAACGTTTTTTACTTCAGATTAGCTAAATTCTTTACCTGCTGATGGGTGCTCTACATTGGCTTCTGGCGTCCACGGACCAGCTTGAACATAGCCACGTTTCTCTAGAGCAAACACGAAACCGCCATCACCAATTACCACTTCACCAGCATCTAGTCTTTCAAGAATGCCACGCTTCTGTGGAGTAAACACATTAGTAAATGATTTCAGTAAGAGCTCTTTGGGAAGGAAAAGTCTACAGTTAGTCTTACCGCTGCCATTTGTCCTACTGAAAGGTGTGAGGGTCCACTCGACCGATTAAGAAACAATTTTCAAAGGCGGTGATTCGCGGTGCCTTTATATTTACGCTACATACACGATAAAACCGGAAACAACCCGGTTGGAAACCGGTCAAAAGAAAACGCACGTTCTGATTGGTTCAAACCAGCCCGCCAAAAACCGGCGTTGCTTCGCACGTGCTTGCTTTTGCATGATCATTCATTCATTCATTCATTCATTCATTCATTCATTCATTCAGGTCAATCAAGACGTGGTTGATGACCGGAGCGAGTTAATGCAATAGATAACTTCTCCATTTGAGAAGTAACTAGTAGTGACCCAGGTTATGCTTGGTTACGTAATTTACGACCGTGTCACGGATAGCCTGTTCCGGGACCCTCTCTCTTCAAAGTCCGTTGAGCGGTCGCGATAAAAAACAAATCTCGGGCGGATTTATTGACCTCCAGCGCAAGGGGGTAGGGGTGGGGGAAGAAGACGCTATTATTTTTCTTTCTCGCGTTCCGCGCTCCCTCTCGCTCTCACTCGCTTGCTTCGGTCGCGCGGTCGCGCTCGCCGATCTTATCGAAGAGAGCAAAAAGAAAAATAAAACAACGTCTGTGTACAGGCTATGTCACGGAGTAATAGTCCCGTTTTGTATTTAAGACTAAATTTACTTTCCCGTAGCCTGTTGTTATGGAGGGGACGAGATAAGGTAAAAAAATTGGGTAAAAAATTTTTTCGTTTTTTTAAACGGCTTAGTGCTCCCTGATGAAATTTTGTCGATATCTCACTGTAAAAACACTCTAGGGAGCATTTTGTGAATCAAGCTTCACCACATAAATTGACCTAAAAAAACAACAATATCCCCCATGCATTAATTATACACTGAAGACACTGAACAGGGATAAAAACAACTCCGAAAAATAAAGCGCTGAAAGCGGGTTTATTTCAGTGATATCCCTGTTATTCGATAACTCAGAGAAACATCTTTTAGTGTCCCGGCGTTTCACAAAATAGGTAACGAAAAATATTTTGGGCTTATAGCGAAAACATCGTGTGAGAAAATTTTAAGTAACGATCAGTTGTAATGAACTTGAATTTGCTGTAAATTTAAGAAGTTGAGGGGAAAGCTGCAGAGAAAGTTATGTACCAGAATAGGATTTTTACAAAAAAGGATGGATTCAGAAGAACAGTCACATAACACAGAGCACACATGTCTCCTATGCCTGTAATGGCCAGTACGGAAAGGCAGTTCGCACGTAAGGGGTACCTTTTGCAAGACTTCAGGTTTGTGAAAGGGTAGGGATTTCACAAGGCAAAGTTTGTGAAAGGGTAGGGAATCTGTCATTTCAGTCTGTAAATAGTCCCAAAGGTGCTGACAGGTGCATTGCCTGCCTGTGAAAATTGAAAGTCGAGAAAACGTTCTGGTTTTGTGATTTATTCATATTTTAAAGTCAGTGCATTTACTGCAATTAACACTATAATACTTTTTGTATATAAAAGTCATACGAAAGGGGTACCTTTTGAGTCAAATGTTAAGGGGCCAAGGGTTGGACCTCGGGGCCGAGTATCGCCGTATAAAACTTTGTTGAGTACCCCCCGGGTAAGATAGCAACCCACTAAGGAACGGAAAGTCTCGTCTATTGTGTCAGTTGTGTGTATTGTGTGTTTGTGTAACTACATTTGAACATAGTTATCAGAGGAGACTGGTTATGAAAGACAACAAACATCAAATATAAAAACAAGAGTGCTGCAGTGTTATGTTGGAAACTTCCTATCGGTGCTCAATCCTTTGTTTTCTGTTGGCAAATTGTAACGGAATAAACTAATGGCATGTATTTATTGGTCAATAAGATTAAAAATCTAGGAATGCTATTGAACGTTGTGCACCCTCAGGTCCACAAAAACATTTAACAAAGGACTCTGTCGGGCTTTATAACCATTCCAATCTATTAACTATGATTTGAATTTTCATGGGTCCAGTTTCTTGATTGCGAAAAGAAAACATCAAACAAACGTCGATAAAAAGCTACTGGAAAACGCCTGCGTGGGAGGTTACTGGGGGTTAGAAATAAGGATATTTTCGCTGAAGCATCGAATAATTACGCAAAAATATGTATGATGCAATCAAAGAACCTGAATTCTCAATATGAGAAAATAAATGAACAAAAGTACTTTTGCTTTTGTGTATCAGCCATATTGCGAAGCCCAAGAATGCTCTTAACACGTATGTCGAAATATTACACGGTTGTGAACTGAGTCAAATTTAGAAGGATTTTGTATGGAGTCATCAGAGCATATGACTAGTCATGGGCCCCTGCTCAAAGACAATTTGCCCTGGAATGTTAATTCTTGGCAAGTAGGCCTTTTGTCAGGATGGCGTTCTTTCATAATACCCCAGAAAATCCCATAATTTCACAAATTTAATTTTCATGACGTCACACTTCAGGTCTGTATGAACCGAGGGCAGGGGCACTTGGGTATTTTTTGGGTGGGTATGTGCCGCCCGGGACTCCAAATTGGCACCCCATTCTAAAAAAAATTTTCCCTAAAATTGATACCCCGTTCTAGAAATGGGCCAATTTTTTATAACCCGTTCTAGTATTCGCCCTAAAACTTATACCCCGTTCTAGAAATGGGCCGATTTTTTATACTCCGTTCTAGAAAGT